CACCCTGTTCCCACCTGCCATCCCCCCCCCGCGGGCCCTCTCTTGGGCTAAGCTCCAGCTCAGGAGTGTGTGTCAGCCGCCCGCACAAGGGCATGTGGGCCCACAGCCCCCTCCCGTGTCACTGTGTGCAGAATCCACATCGGGGGGTGAGTTCAGAGGGGGGGATTCCCTCACCCCTGCCCAGTTTGAGCAAAATGGCCCATTGAACGCCAGGTAACAGAGTGGGGGGGGAGCAGTGTGGGCCCCAGACTTTAAAGATGCCCCTTTCACCCCAACCAGAGGGTTTCTAGCACATTCAGGCCCCTCCCAGGGCTGTGAGGTTGCAAACATAAGGGGGGGCCCCTGTGGGTAGGGTTGGCCCTTCCCGCTGGGGAGGCCCCGCTCCCTGACCCCTAAACAGCCTCAGAGGAGGGGGTATCACCCTGATTATAAGTGGGAACCCTGACCCCCAGGTTAGGCCTCACTGAGGCTGCAGGATTTAACAGTGAATTGGGGTGACACCTGGGAGTCCTCCTGGGGTCCCTGGGGTCTGCACTCACCGCCCACAACAGCCTCAGAGGAGGGGGTATCACCCTGATTATAAGTGGGAACCCTGACCCCCAGGTTAGGCCTCACTGAGGCTACAGGATTTAACAGTGAATTGGGGTGACACCGGGGAGTCCTCCTAGGGTCTGCACTCACCGCCCAGGATCCCAGAGCTCACATGTGCAGGTCAAGTTCAAGGCCAGGACCCTGTGTGCCATCGCTAGGGGGGGCCTGCCCCCGTCTCACCCAGAGGTGGACACTAATGGTGGACACGGTGTCGTACAGGCCACAGCGGACACGGCCTTTCCAGGGACCCAACAGCCCCACCCTGCCACACCCTCAGCGCCACGTCACAGCAGCCACAGCTGTGTTTCCGTGTATTTGCACACGTGTGGCCTTGCCCGCCACCACCCTCCACCAGGGAAGGGCATGGGCTGGCCTCCACTGGGGGAGAGCTGGGGAGGGGTCCCGCACACGCACCAGGCCTGGGCACAGGCTCCTCAGCCTCCCCCGAGTCCACCGGGGCTGGGCCACCCTCCACCAGGGAAGGGCATGGGCTGGCCTCCACGGGGGGAGAGCTGGGGAGGAGTCCCGCACACACACCAGGCCCTGCGCACAGAGTCCACCAGGGCTGGAGTCCTCCTGTGACACGTTCCCCGGGTCCCTGATCCACCAACATGTGAGCCTCTGCTGCAATCAGGAGTCAAGACAAAGAGAAAAGGGAGCCATTGGCCAGCTGGAGGGGTGGCCACGTAAATGCCCGGGGGCTCCGGGGGCACAGGGGCCTGTGAGGGAGCCTGGGATCCTGGGGGCCTGAGAGCGACGGCCCAGCCGCCCTTTCCTGTCCCCGTGGAAGGTTCCCCCAAAGCTGGTGGGTGAAGCCCCCGCTCACCCGAAGTCCTCCCGCCACGCGGCCTGTGCTCACTCTGAGGGAAAGAGCGCCAGCGCCGTGTGTACGACCCCCTTTTAGATAACAAATCACATTTTCTTCTCGCCGGCAAGTGTGTTGAATTGATATTTTTCCCCTCGGTTTAATGGGTTTGTGTGTTCAGGAATGATCTTCATCAACCGAAACTCCTTATTGTGTTTGATGTAATGTCAGCTTTCATTACGCGCTCAGGGTCGGAGCCGGCAGGGCAGGCGGCATCCTGGAGCTGGTGGGTGGGCGCGGGGGAGGGGTGTTTGAGTGGGGGATGGAGATGTTCGGGAAGGTGGGTTGAACCGGGTTCGAATCCTCTCTGCCCTGGTGTCCTCATGTGTATGGCCAGGTCCCAGGGCCGTTGGGAGGACCCGTGATTCAACGTGTGCCAAGCGCTAGGCAGAGCAGACGCCTCAGACTGCAGCCATCGGGTGGCCCGGTCCTCCATGCATCAGAGGCTGTGGTCCTGCCCGAGATGCCTGGCGGGTAGTCAGTGTCCCAGGCGCCTGCACTGTGCCTGCGGGTCCAGCCAGTCCCCTGCATGCCCAGACCAGTGGGAAACACCTCACGACTCTTCCCTCCAACCGTGGCCTCAGACCAGCACCTGGGCAGTCACCAAGGCCAAGCCCCTCCCGGGAGCATGAGGAGCCTGAGCTCAGAGAGGGAGCAGCGCAGCCCTGAGGTCACACAGCACCTGGGCCCAGCCAGGCCGGCTCAGGGGCAGCCAACGCGGAGCAAGTGCTGGCGCTGTGCTTGCTGTGTTACAGCCACACCCTCGGGGTGCACTGTGTCATCACCCCCACTTTCAGATCACACAGAAACAGGCTCCCGGCGACCGAGGGACCGCAGGGCTGAGGAGCACGGGGGAGGTGGCTCGGACACTGGCCTCTCCCAGGTGCTGGCCCTGCTGCCCATCGGTGGGGGGAGGGTGGCCCTCCTGCAGGGGTGGCACTTGATGGCACCAGATTCACCTCCTGGCGGCCTCTCCCAGCCACGCTCGGTTCTGATTAAAGATCATTAGACATGAAATTAGCCCGTTTGTGTCACGGGCCTCCCGGGTGGCCGGTGATTATGACGTGCAGATGGCCAAGAAGCCGGGCGCCGGGCGGGCCG